TCTGATTTATACGTCGCTCTCATTTATTAATGTTTTGCTATCTTTCCCCTGAGCCATGAACTTACATTTTTGTTCCTTTTTGTTTTTTATTACCTTTTTCCTTTTGGTTCCTAGTGAAACTCCTTTTATTTCTTCGCAATGATGTGTTGGTGCTGGTTGAATTTTGAAGAGTTCGCTTTATGTGTTAAAAATAAATCTACACAGGCTTAAAACTAACTACTTATATTATCAGGAAAAATGCACAAAGCTAAAAACATGATCTTATATGGAATGGGCTCGCGACGCTAGTTTGTAGCCTGGATGTTTCAGTTGCCTGACAAAGCGAGCAAAGGGATTTATAGATGGCCAAAGCCGGCACCAGAAGAAGAGGATATGAAGGTGAGTTATGGTACAGAGGCATTTTGAACTTGCACCATTAGCACTCAGATAGAGACCCAAGCTTTATTTCCAAGGACTAATTGTTAAGCATACCGGATTAACAACAAACTTTATACACAACCTTCTCATGTTTTAACTTCATTTGTTGGAGGGCCGAGACAGCAGCACCATTATGTCAGCCCCAAATGCAGCGGACTATGTTCCTCACCCATGGAATTTCAATAGTGATTCTGCTGGCCGAACCGTAAGTGGTGCAAATTGATAAATATCACTGGTGCACTGTGACTCCTCTGGCATGCGTTTCAAATTTACCTCTAATCAGGAAAGTGTGCTGTCAGCACATTGCAGGAAAACTATTGGCAGACCTATTAAGGCATGATATAGGCATGAAAAGCATATTACAGAACATGTGGAAACGGGATATTGAGAATCGTTGGGTGCACTGAGGCATGTGTTCCAGAAACTGGTTCTGCCGTGATGTGTGCGAAGACCTTTCTCTCTCGCTGGATTATAGCAATAGACGGGAGTGTGGGATAAATATTCCGAATTGTACGTAAGGCATGGCTGTATTCTCTTTACACTGCATGAGTTATAAAGACTTTTTCATACTCAGAAATGCAGTTAAACTAACAAACATGGCATTCACTGTTTGAGTGCCTATCGTTTGTCAAAAGAGAAAACAAGTAGAATACACCGATTTATATTGTGTATTGCTGTTTTTACTTGTTAGCTATGTAGTTTTTTCGTTATATTGCTGTTTGCCTTTTTTATCCTATCCTTGGCACTAATAGGTCTACATATAGCTGTCTTCGCATTAAAAAATCTCATTTCATTATCTGTATCGCTGGCTACATATGTTACTTATTCGCGTCGTTTATATTGGTGTGATTATTTTGTATATGTCTGCCTCAATAGTTGAAAAGAGCGCAATGGTTTTTTGTTTGTTTTATATCTCGTTGGAACAAAAAGTAACACGTCCAATATTTTTTTTTTGTTGTTTGTTCATCTTTCTAACCTTGGATAGTACGGGAGAACTAATAACACCCTCTGGTTTTCCCTGGAACCATAAGCCTGGAAAGAAGGAAAGGCAGGAACCCCACATATACTATGTATTTCTTGTATCAGAGTACGTTTTTATATGAGACTGGGTTGCATTTACACATTGAGATATCTGTATTAACTGGCTGAGTAAAATGTCTTTAAATCTGGATCATAGATTGATTTCAGCTTTATCCAGAGAACTGCACACATCAGAGAACCAGTTTCTGACCACAGCCTCAGTGACCATTCCATATGTTTCCACTGTTTGTTTGTTCTGCTATCTAGTGGTTTCTGCATGTTCCTGCAATGTGTGACAGACTAAGGTAATGAACCCTGCAGAGGTCAGTGCAGCAGTGATTTTACATTTTACCACTAGGTGGCAGCAGAACTATTGAAATCATGTGACTGCTGCTGTGTGTGTGCTGTCTGAGCCTCCAACATGAAGTTAAACAGAAGGTGTGTAAGTGTATCGTATGTACAATAGACTTAAACTAAGTGGCCTTTGTGTATGTGCAAGTTCAAAGCCTCCACATCCTTCATCTCTTCTTCTGTGGTTTCCTCTATAAATCCCTTTGCTGTTTGTCAGAATAAACATCAGCTACAAAGAGGTCGAGCTCTATAAGATCATGTTTTTAGCTTTGTGCATTTTCCTGATAATATAAGTAGTTAGTTTTAAGCTGTTAGATTTTATTTTAACACATAAAGGAACTCTTCAAACATTCAACATCAACACATCTGGAGATAAAAGGTTTCCACTGGACAGGAAGGTAAAGTAACTAAAGCTGTCAGACAAAAGTAATGGAGTACAGGTATAAAAGTGCATAAAGTGGAAATATTCAAGTACCTGGAATTTGTACTTAGCTACATTTCATCACTGTGCACCAGAGGGTGTGTGTCGGCGCCACTGCAACGCCACATCCCCTTACCAAACTAAAAAAGACGTAAATATTCTCAGGATGAACTAAATGCAAACAACAATAAGGAGGCTGACCCTTAGCATTGTACTTGAAGCTTTGAAGCCTCGAGTAAAATCAGAAATCAACTTCTCCATAAGACTTAATACTATCAGACTTCTTTTATTGCAGCCGATGGAGATCCCCCTGCTGGCCTTTACACAGAATGCAGCTTTAAGACACTTCCACGTTGACTTCACAGACCAGAAGCTCTGTCCGTTATATGTAATAACTATATTAATATATTTATATATGTGTAAACTGTCAGCGGTCCTTTAAAGGTTCAGTCATGCATTTGTACTCAAGGCTGGATTACTGCAACCTTTGTTATCAGGTTGCCCTAATAAGTCCATTAAAATGCTCAATTAATTCAAAACGCTGCAGCGACGGGTACTGACAGGAATAGAAAGAGATCACATTCTCCTGTTCTAGTTCTCTGCATTGGCTCCCTTTAAATTTAGAATAGATTTTAATCCTCCTCTCACCTATAAAGCTCTTCATGGTCAGGCCCCTCATATCTTGAAGAGCTCATAGTACCATATTACCCTCTAGAACACTACGTTCTCTGAATGCTGGGCTATTGTGGTTCCTATAGCTCTAAAAGTAGAAAGGAGCCAGAGCTCAGTTCCAAGCTCCTCTCCTGTGGAACCAGCTTCCAGTTGTGGTTCGGGGGCAGACACCGCTCTCCACATTTAAGAGTAGGCTAAGACATTTCCTTTGATTAAGCTTATAGTTAAGCTGGATCAGGTGAGTCCTGACCATCTCTTAGTTATGCTGCTATAGGCCTAGACTATCGGGGATTCCATGGCACTGAGCTCCTCTCTTCCTCGTCCTCTTTCCTGCACCATTCATGTCCATTAATGCATGTTACTAACTTCACTTCTTCCCCGGAGTTCTGTGCTTTCGTCCTGAGGTTCTCATGGATCCTGGTGGAGCTCCTGCCGATGGTCCTGCTAGACTGCGAAGGTTCTGTCCGAGGTTTCTGCTGTTAAAAGGCAGTTTTTCTTGGTCCGTCGCCAAGTGCTTGTCATGGTGGTACTGTTGGGTCTCTGTAAATGTAAAAGAGTTCGGTCTAGACCTGCTCTATTTGAAAAGTGTCCTGAGATACTTCGTTATGATTGCGCTTCAAATAAAATTGAATTGAAAATTGAATTGAATAAATGACATGGCTTTCCAAATGTAAACACGTCGTGCAAAATAAGAGAACAACTTCAATTTCATTGTATAATACTGAAAAGAGCAGGTAGCTAATCGTTAGCTTGCGCTATCGTTAGTAAGCGCTAGCTAAGCGTAGCTTTGTTAATGGTGTTAATTGTATATGCACCTGAGGAGTGTATGTAAATCTAAGCCATTGTTAGTTTGGTTAAGAAACAGCTCATAGCAGGGTCAAATATTTAAGGGCATTGCACTTTTTTGTGTTATATAAAATCATTCAGATTTAAAGTGGTTTGCTTGGTTAGCACGGTTGCAACAACCAGTCAGCGTAGTTGTTGTTGTTATACGTCATCTAGCACGGCGGTAAACGTCCCATGTTCGTCATGCAGACTCGAATGCTGAAGCCTACAAAACAAACTCGGTAAAAAAAACCCGATACCGATAATTCCGATGATAATTTTTAGTGGAATTTTTA